TAACAAGATTTTCTCCTATAGAGTCTGAAAGCAATAAAGAGTGAAATATGAGAACACCATTTAGATAACAGATTTATTTCTTTGACAAAATCATTTTGTATCCCTTTTCAACTTGAATCAGTCTGGTTTAAACTTGTTGTTATCATTATTGTTATTATTATTTCAGCGGCGATTGTAAATTACTTTAAAAGCAGTCAACTCATAACAGTATTTCATAAAGTATGAATATCCCTTTATGGTAAAGAACACAAATGGTACAAAGTCTGATATAATATAATAACGATGACCAAAAGAAAAAACTTCGACAAAAGTTATAGCTTATATCAATTCTTGATAGGCTACAGAAAAGGCTACAGCCGGAAAAGGGCATTTAGATTGGAATACATTCAACAAGTAACGCCGATGCGACAGATCGTTAAAGAAAGGGATTTGAGGTTGTGGAATAGTCTGGTAGGTACTACCTCGCATCCCCTGCAGGATGTTCTCCCACCACGTAAGATTAGGACCCTACGCGGTAGGTCCCATCCTTATCAGGTCTCATGTGTTAATATTGAATGGTTTAAATAGATTGTGTCGTTAGTTTTTAGTACTGGGACAGTTTTAAACTCTATAAGTACATTGTAAGTTTTAACGTCTGTTAAAAACTATTATTATTATATTATATTATATTATCTTATATTATATTATTTATTTATTTATTTATTGTCTTTACGTCCTAACAACATCCTGAAAACCACTTTAAACACTTTATAAACACTTTATGGTGGAACCTCTCCTCACGGACACCGTTATAGTAAAGACATTCAGTTCTGCCCATTTGCTGTAATAATAATAATAATAATAATAATAATAATAATAATAATGAATTTATTTAGATGTCGAATGTATTTAGCACTATTGTGCTAATTGGGAACACTGTGAATTAATAACCAAATATTGCAAATAGAAAATAAACTATTAAGAATCCCAACTGGTGGGAGGCTGACAAGGTCGAGGAGTTGAACTCGGGACTACCGAGTACAAATCCAGATAACAGTAGGGTGGAGGATTTGAACCAGGGAGCTCCAGATTTCAAATCCAGCGTCCTAAACCACTCGGCCACGCTGCCTCCGTATAAAAGTGGTTTGAGTGTATTCTTCAGACTCGGAGCCACTTTAAAAATCAAAATCTAAGCTCCAAAATGCAAAACATGGAACATACCAGAGCATCAAGATAAGCTGGCATCATTTGAATGAAAAATATTTCAAAAAAAAACAAAAAAAAAAACATCTACCTTTACATTTGTGCAAATTGCAGCTCTCTGTGGACATATTTGTCCCTGGGCAATCCATTCCGTTCCATTTTGGCGCTGGATTAGAACATGTGCGAGCACGTGTCCTGTGTCCCCCTCCACACGTCACGCTGCATGGTTGCCATGATGACCACTGGCTCCAACTGCCATTAACTGATGATTAAAGGGAATAATCCATGACATGAAAACATTAGAAGGTGTGTAAACTGTTGCTTTTTGAACTGGTAAGAAAAAAATCGCTTAGCTTATGTTCTAAAACGGCGTTTTTACGATAGCGTTCCAGGGTACAAGACTTTACGGTTCACGACAAAAAGGTTTACAGATTTTATTCAGAATTCCAATCCAATGAACTGGAGAAGCCAAGGGCCTCATCGAGGCAGGTGCTTAATACCAGTTTAAATATTTCTAGAAGTAACGTAAATTAATATTTAGATCAGTTGGCTGGGGACCCAAATGTAAATCATGCTACATAATATTAGTTAGAAAAATATAACGGTGCAAAATTTGTAAAGTGTGAGGTTATGAACTGATAAGTAACCTTCAACAAAGCGGTAAACAAATATGGACCATGCATTTCCAACGCTATAATTCCATAAACAACTGTTGGATCGCCCATGTCTGTTGTACGTCATGTCACCGTTTAATCCACTCCAGCACTCGTATCGATATTCCACGCCAAAATACCGGAAGCCATTCTCATACACTGCAGTAGCACACTCGTGAATTATGGATGCGAGTGAATTGGCCAAATCTCTCTGATTGACAGAGTACCATTGGACCAACACTGGTAGGGCGCGTGGAGTAGCGTCTTTGAAACAACCGACTGTTTCATACGGGTGCAGTGCCATGGTATCTGTGTAGAAAAGACCAGATAATCATTAAGTAGAGAAGCCAAGCTATAAATTAACAACCTATAACTGGTGGTTGTTGCTTTCGCATTTCACGAGAAGTTCTAAAGCGTCCACCATCTCCTTTATCTTGCGGCATTAAAAGCCACTCGTTTCCCCCTTCGCCGCTGTATTTCATTTTGCCATCTTCCGAGAAGGAGCGCACTGTGTTCATAGCCATATAGGTACAGTTATAAAACATCCTGAAAATTAAAAACTAACTCAGCTCCGAAATGGAAAGTAAGGAGCATAGTGGAGCATCAAGTTAAGCCGGAATCATTTTAAGGAAAAATCTTTTACAAAGGGCATCTACCTATACATTTCTGTAAATTGCAGCTCCCTGTGGAGATATTTTTCCCCACGCAATTCATTCCGTTCCATTGTGGCGCTGGATTAGAGCACGTGCGAGAACGTGTCCTATGTCCTCCTCCACACGTCACGCTGCATGGTTGCCATTGCGACCAATAACTCCATCTGCCATTCACTGATGATTAGAAGAAACAATTCGTGACATGAAGGATTTGACAGCGTATAA